CCTTGTTTGTTCTTCCATTTGTGTCCATTGTTCAGGAAAAGGTATTCTTTTACTTCACTTGTAACTAGATACCTGATGCTGAATGATTGGCATTAAAAATTTAAAAGTGAGAAAGGGTTGTCAACCATGCAGCTACTAGACAAAATCATACAACATGTCTTGGTCTCAGGGAAAAAAGGTAAAGTTTGCATATACGAGCCAAGTGGCCCATTAGGCCAGAGCTTATCCTGGTTTCTGTAGCATGAAGTGTCTCGGAATATTTCTGCTCCCCCCCTGGATGGTATGCTAGTGCATCATAGGGTTGCCCCCAGCATTAAAGGGAGAAAGGTAGCCTGCCAAACACTGATGCATGTTTTGATTGCTTCACTATTAATGAACAGGTTAAATCTTTGACTCAATTTGCTGTTGAGCTTGGCTTCTTAGTGGAGGAGTATGCTGCTAGTCGAGGGAAAATTCCACCCCGCAGCAGACGCAAAAAGAAGTCTGTGTACATTGCAACAATAGAAAAGGTTTGAGCATGTTTTGCTTTTTGTTGGGTAATGTTGATTCAAACCCATAAACAACTGAAAAACAATTGAAAACCATTACCATGCCAGCGGTCAAACCTGAGCCTGCGATATGGTCACATGATACTTGTCAGCGGATACCTTGATTTGACAGGTGTCAATTGAACATAACATGGATGTCCATTATGATCAGAGATGTATGCAGTAAACTGAGGCTGCATGACTTGGTCGACCTATTAGCGTATTCCATGCTGCTGGCCATGTTGACCATGAAAAAAGGTGTTGCATGGTTTTCTATTTCACTGAATGCATGTATCTAATGTATCTCCATGTATCTGCACTTATTTCTATCTGTGCATTTTGTTGTTGTTGTTGTAATGTGGGTCTTTCCCTAGAATTATAGTGTTCCACTTTTCGGGCCACCAGAGCTCCACTATTAAAACTGAAGTGTTATTCTGTAGATTAGCAGACTGATGGATAAAAGGTAATAAATGAGAGCCTTTTGAAAATGAGGTTATACACTTGAAATAATGTAAAGATTTGACTTAGGTCTTATCTTGAGGGGTAGGGTTGTTAAATTATTATTATTGATATCGTTATAGTGATATGTAAGTGTTTCTCAACAGGCAAATGCCCTGGTTAACAGCCTCATTGGAGAAAGCAGAATTTCAACATTGGGTCTAGTGGTAGTTGATGAGGTACACACTGTATCAGAATCCAAAGTTTGTTCTACAATCTGGCTGTCTGCTGATAATATCTTGTGTGTTGAACATCTGTTGTTGATTATCGTAAAATTCTGCTTGAATTTATTATATTTTATTAGTTATTCATAATTTTATTAATAATAGCTTCAGTTAATACTCTGTCCTTTACATAATGTAGAGAACAAGATACATGATATATACATGTATAACAAGGAATATCCATAGGATAGAATAACCTATTATTATGTCACTAATATGGAAGCTGTTCAGTTAATATTTTGCTCGTTGTTGAATCCTCTCACCATTGATTACAGCAACGAAATATTAATTTAAACTACTCCAGGAATATTAGTGGTAACTCTTGCTAGTGCTTTTGGTTTTTGGCTTTAACTTCAATTTAAGTCACATGGAAAGACTAGTTCAGAAGATCAAAACTACTTACTAGGTATATATATTACATATTAATTTCACTTCTCCACTTATGAAAGTTGATTACTATAATATAGAAGAAGCTGTAATCATACATGTATATAATTTAATGTCCCTATAGGCTAGTCAATATTTCCTTGTCTAACGTTGTTTTTTTTTCTGTATGTGACCAGCTACATATGTTGGGTGAAACAGTAAGGGGGGCCACCTTAGAGATGTGTTTGGCCAAGCTCATGTTTGTTTCTTGTAAGTAGGATATGAATCATAATTTCACATAAAATGATTATCAGATTAATTTTGTATACATCTAACTTTTAAGTATAATATTGCTATGTTCACATCATAGTTAAATCTGACTGGAACAGCTCATTAAAAAAACCGGTATATCGACAGAGATGGAGGTAATTTTACCACCCACAGTGCATTCTGGGTGCTGTAATTGGCATGTTATACTCTTGCAAGAAAATCCTTGCAGTTAAGTATTTCTATGAGTTTTAATCATTTACATTTTGAAGTGAAATTGTATTGACTTGTTCACTATACTTTGTACTCTTAAAAACAGTACTGAGTAAAGAGTAGTAAGCAAGTGTCAATTTATCTCGTTGAAATGATTTCTTTTGCATTTTGATTTGCAGCCACCACCCAGATAATTGGAATGAGTGCTACTTTAAGCAACATTGCAGACTTGAAGGCATTTTTAAAGGCTGAGGTGTATTCAAATGATTTTAGACCAGTAAGTGTACAGTTAAATTAGATCCCAATAGTGCAGGTGTGTTGGCCCAGCTAATGGCTGGTGCACTGGATTCCAGCTTGAGTTGTCTGGGTTTGAGCCCTGGCTGTGGACGTTGTGCTGTGTTCTTCAGCAAGACACTTTACTCTCACAGTGCCTCTCTCCACCCAGGTGTATATATATGGGTACCGGTGAATTTAATGCGTTAAACCAGGGGAGGGGGGCTAGCAGAAATCCTCCTAGTCTCTTTAATAGTGCTACAGAAGCCAGGGGTTTCATTAAGGGCCAGGCACCGGGAAAATTGAATGGCCATGAGGATGATTTTGCCCGGCTGGTTTGACCATCTAGAGGACAGTTTTAGTTGTAATTTTGCTCAGCTCAAAAAACTGCTGAAAACGTTATTCACTTAATGAAACCCCTGAAGAGGCCATGATATTTAGGTGAATGGCTACATGGACCACCTGGCCCAACATAGACTTCACCTTACCTTCCTAGATAATAATACCACCCTTGGTACAAGAATAAGTATTGACCCATTTAGGAGAGGTGTTTGCTCATAAGAGATTAATGTAATATCTGTCTATGACCTTGACAAATTACAAGTGACTGAGGGAAAAGCTAAGTGTCTGTCTGTCTGTCTGTCTGTCTGTCTGATCAAAGTCTAGGACAACAACTTCTTTTTAAAGAGATTGTTCAGTGTTGTCCACTTATGGGGGTAGGTGTTTGTAGCTAAATATTCGACTGTAATTTTGAAGGCAATCAATTTCTAGATTTTTTGGTCACTGGACTTCCAGTGTATTATTTTAAGATGTAACTTGTAAACCCCTTTTTGTTAGTTGTACATTGTGAGGGGTTTTAATAGGTTTTCCTCACCTATATAAGTGAGGAAACTTATCCTGGGGATAAGGTGTTACTGATTTCAGCTTCCTTCTGTATATTTGCTTGTGAACATCTCACATAGAAAGGTGTAAAAGCCTGGAGTAAGCATTTTTTGTGTAGCCATGTCATTTTCTCATTGTTTTAATTTGTACTTCTAATCAGGTCGAGCTGAAGGAGTTTGTGAAAGTGGGCCATGACATTTACAAGGTCCCTAAACCTTCAGATCCTGAGGACGAAGCTGGTAAAGTTTTCAGGAGGATTAATAACAAACAGGTAGAGAGAACTGATTCACTGGTTTATGAAATCAACATAGTGTGACAGGCTGTCATTAAGGGCCGTAACCCGGAACACTACACTCTCTATTTTTTATAAGAATATGTTTTAAAAGAATATTGAGGCTGAAGTTCGCGAAGTTTTAAGCATATTTCAAGAATAAACCTGAGGCTGAGATTTTGAAAAGAATATATTTTTGTGTGTTGAAAATTTGTAAATTCAACACAATTATATGTTTTTAACTAAACCATATAAATTTCTTCCTTTCTCTAAATGGCAAAACTAGCCAAAAAACAAACCAAAACAGCACTTGACTAACCGGCATATGTTCAATGCTAATAATATATCTGCAAGAAGTTATGTGCGTTATGCAAAATAACTTTAATGCCATCCAGACACCAAATTGACATTGGAAAACAGAAATGCCATTATAATCTAAGAATATTCTCAAGATTATTTTCAGTCTAAAATCGCCAGGAAAATAACAATATCATATTCTCTTATAAAAGAAAAAGAGAGTATGTAAGGAGGGGACCACGTGTTTGTAGTTTAGCGCACTGACCATTGGGCTCCCTTGCCTCTCAAGTACTTTGTGCATAAAGTACTAGGGAATACAAAGTGCCTTGGACAATAATACAACACAAAATCTTGGGCAGGGCTGGACCAAAACCTCTTGATGTAAATTCTGGCTGTGAACACGCTTTTTTGTGGCTGTAACATTGTGCTGTTGCTCTGAAACGCTTGTCATTGTTTTCAGGGCCAAAAGAAAGAAACCCTGAAGCGAGATCCAGATCAGTTGTTAGCCCTGGTTTTGGAGGTTGTTCCTGATCACTCCTGTCTGGTTTTTTGTTCCACTAAGAAGAACTGTGAAAACTTGGCATTACTGCTCATAAAGTTAATGCCCAGGTAAAGCGTAAATTCTTTGGTATTTATTTTTCTGAGTTGTATTAGCTAGGCCAGAGAGGCATTTCTCTTCAAGAACCTCACTTATTTCACGTTACAAGTCAGTGATTTGAGAAGAGCTACTCAAGAGTCAGCTGCGAAAACTTAGTAAGATCGGAATGAAAAAGTGTCCACGAGGTTCAAAACCCGATTGTGAAGAGCAGGAGAACTTCCTACAACCGGGAAGGACCTTGAAAAAATCAAGGATTTCCACCGTGTCAAAAGAAAGGACTATTTCTTACCTTTGATAGTGAAAGCTCCAGTAGCTGGTTTCAGTGCATTTTCTCTTCGAAAACTTGTTGTGAGATATCCGGTTACCCACATCTATAAGTATTGTAGCAAATCATGTTGAGTGAAGGCTTTGTTAGTGAAAGCCCCAATATTTCCTGTGCTAAAACTTGTAATCAAGTATCTGATATTTGACAGTGAAAGCTCCAATATTGGTTTCAGTGCCTTTTCTCTTCTAAAACTTGTAACAAAGTGTCTGGTTACACGCATCTAGGGAATTACGCCAAGTGAAAGCCATGGAGAGGCAGCAGCTGATGAGGGCTCTGTACAATGAAGCGTGTGGTCTGTGTCCTGTGTTAAGACAGACCATTCCTTTCGGCATTGCATACCATCACAGTGGACTGACGATGGACGAGCGGAAACTAATTGAAGATGGTTACAGTCAGGGTGTGCTATGCCTTCTGACATGTACCTCTACTTTGGCAGCAGGTGTTAACCTGCCGGCAAAGAGGTTTGTAGTCTGTTTGGAAAGGGGTGTGTGTGTGTGTGTGAGTCAGGGGAAATTGACATTTTGAAGAAAAGTCACGGAAAATTGAAATAGTTTAACACGGCTGATTTAATACCGTTGAAGGCTGGAAGAACATTTGGTGTCACTGTGGTCTCAACGATATTTTTCCTTAATGAAGATGGAAAATTTGGTGAAACTTATTAATCTTAATGAACGAATACAAAGGGACGGCTACTAGATCTGACATTTTGTATTTATTTGCCATTTTGGTCAGCGAAATATTATTTTTGCCAGAGAAAAGTCGGGGAATTTTGAAAAGTGATACCTGTGGCAACCATGAAGAAGGTAATACGTTTTTTTGCAGTGGCTTCTTCCTTCTCCATTCGGAACCTGCATGCACGCGAAGATATATGACTTCTCTTCGATCTGTTTCTTGAAATTTATTCGATTGACTAGAATCTTACTCTCCTCGCATCGATATACTGCCAAACAATTCTTTAAGGGTGCGTTCCTTTTGGATGATCAGGATCAAGATCAGGATAAACGATTCAAGATCACTCGGATCATGCCGGGTGCATCAAAGGAACCGATGAATCCTGGACCAGAGTGAATTCATCGGTTCCTTTGATGCACCGTGATCTGAGTGATCTTGGATCACTGATCCTGATCCAGA